CAAATTGTTCTATATGACTAACCCAAAATGTTTCATGTCTTTTTCCTAAGAATTCCAGTCCTAGTCCAGGCATGCCAAGCTCCAGACATCTATAGCTGTACGTCAAGTCCTCCTGCATCAACACATCCCCTGCACCCGTTCCGAATGGATACATGTTGTTCATAAAGGAAGCGTCTGCGGAAATAAATGACAATTGGTAACCTGTGCCTCACTGACAGCTTTTACGTAAAGGTAACTAAGTTTTCTAGAAAACCCGCGAGGGGCTAAGAAGAATTTTTCTTAAAGTCTGGTTTTTCTTCATAACGGAACTCTAACTAAGACTATAATAATATGTCACTCTCCTAAAGAGGGAGCCCTCAGTCCTCGTCTTCGCCATCACAGCAACATTTTTCAACGTCGTTTGACAATTCGTCTGAGGCAAAAAAGACCATTGGCTTCCTGGAGGTTTTTAGATCTTGCAATACCTATCTGCCAATTGTCCCTTTGTTTGCTCCATCTCCTTTGCCTCCAATAGCTTTTTTTGAAATAGTTTTATACAGATCCCTTAACCGTATCGTTAGGTTTAGTATCGTGGTAAAGGAAAATCCTTCTGTTAGTCATGTTTACATACCTTGTTCGCATCGATCTCCTATGTAACCAGGCAGACAGGCACAATTGTACTCCTCTGGACGGTTGACATTTGGCTCACATTTTGCGTTGTTTTCGCATGGATTGAAAAAGCAAGGATTGACTAGAAAAAGAGTACGTGAAAAGTCTGAGTTATTTATACCGAGTAGAACGTACTTTTCAACGAGTTTTTATGGAGCAGGAGAAACTTCTTTCTATCTTCTCTTTTCAGGAGAGATGAGGCGGTAAGTCGTGTGGGAGCAGGGTACTCTTCTCAGGGTTCACTGATTCACCTCAGCAGTGAGAGGCACTCTTGCTACCAAAATGTTTTCCGAGATTTCTTCTTATTAAGAATACAATTGATGTAGTACTTACTATGCTTATTAAGGATATAATCGATACTTACTATGCTGACATGTGCTGCCAAAGAAAGCTTGATGACATTGACAATAAAAACCAACCACTCTATCAATACACGTCCCTCCGTTATCACATGGGCTGCTGATGCACTCTTTGACCTCTGAAAAAGACCAGAAATGATTTGAATGGAACGCTTTTCATTTTTTCATAAAATATTTTAATATTAAAATACTTAAAAGTATTTTGTTATACATTTAGAGATGATCCAAGAAGTCAATAATTTTTCCACACAAATCGACAACCATTTCGGAAAAAAGGAAAACAAGCAATTGCAAGACAGACATGCAACAAACACACTATAGTGAGAAAACA